TTTCACTAAACAAGAATTTTTAACAAAAAATGAATTTGTGAGTTATTTTTCCGCCGAATAGTTAACTTTTGTAAATCAAAATTACTAAAAGTGTTGTCTTTTTTAAAATTATTATTTGAAAACAAATAATATTGTTTTCTCGATGTTATACTATTGGCTTTTCAAAACTAACTGAATTTGATGGTTCATATGTAACACGTGTAAACACTTGAAAAAAGAACTGTGAGATTGTATGTGTGTGTTTTTTTTTAATGTTAGGGTGTAAATACTTAAATTATTGAACTTAAAAGGAAGTCGATATTAATTGTTTGTCAAAAAGTGTAAAAAATTTAAATATGAGTCATGTAATAGGTTGTGATCTGATCTAATGTTGACACTATTAGAAACATTCAAGAGAATAAGACAACTCTCCGCGAATAATCTCCTAAAGATGCAACTTTCATGATATAAAATCTTTGGAGTGAAATTAAATGAATGGGCGTTTTCAATAGAGTGTTGTACTAGGGTACTTTTGAAATTTTTTGTTTATGGTGGACCACACTTAGTTCATGTTGTCTCATTCTCTTGTGTACATATTGCGAAGTTTGTCCAATATATTGAAAAGCACAGTCATTACAAGAAACAGAATATACTACATTAGTATTGAAATTGGATGGGGTAGGGGATTTAATGTTCGTAAAGAATTGGTTGAAGGAGTGTAAGGATGAGCCTGATACTGAAATGTTTTCTTCTAACAAAATTTTTGCAAAATAATAATATAAATCTTCAACGTATGGCATACTGCAGTAAATAAGATTGGTGTTTTTGATGTTGGTACTGGTATTGGGAGAATTAATTTGTTTTTTCAAAAAAGTTTGTCTTTTTTGAATAACTGAATGAATGAGATTTTTGGGTAACCATTTTCAATTAGAGTTATTTTTACTAGGGATAAATTTTGTGGATGGAAAGTTTGGTGAGACAACAAAATAGCATGGTCTGTAAGGGAAATAATAGTGTTTATCTTATAGTTTCTGGGACAGTATGAGGAATAGTGTAAGTATCTACCCGACCATGTAGTTTTTCTGTACCAATTTGTTCGAATAAAGTTATTAGTGTTGTAAACGGATACATCCAAGAAATTAAGTCTGTTGTTATTTTGTAGTTCATGTGTGAAAGTTATATTATTGTTAAAGTTATTGAAAAGATCTAGTACTGTGTTTATATGATTTTTGTTAATGATAAAAAAGTGTCATCTACATATCTAATATAAAAGTTAATTTGAAATTTCAAAGTTGAGAAAACGGAAATTTCTAGTGTTTGTAAAACTAAGTCGATAATTCCGGGAGATAAGGGACATCCCATAGCTGCGCCTTTAATTTGAGAATAAAAGTTGTCTTGGCAATGGAAATAGGAGTAATTTAAAATAGTGTTGATAATATGAGTAAAGACTGTTTTCGGAAAGTCAGTAAAGTTACAAATTGTGTGCCAACGTTTATCGATTGAGTTTAGGATTAATTCATGTGGGACACATGTAAAAAGGTTGACCACATCTAAGCTTAGAAATAAGTGATTTTCAGGGATGTTGCGGTTATTAATATATGTTTTATTAATATATATATATATATATGTGTGTGTATGTGTGTTTGTATATGTATATCTAATATATAAAAATGGAGCTCTCGATAAAACGATCCGCTTAAACTCGAAAACAGTCTTAGAAAAATTCTTGCTAATCAGTAGGTTGTCGGAAAGGTGAGATATTATTTCAAAATCGCGTAGAAACTTTACATTTTTAATTTGAAAATTTTTGTAGAAGCGTAATTTAAATAAAGCATTGGACGGTGGTTAAATACGTCAAATGTAAAACGTTTATGACAGATCATGTTCAATTCCGTTTTGAAGGATATTTTACGTGAATATTATTTAATTATGATTAAATTGTTATAAGTAGTTTTGTTCGTAGTTATGTTTATACACAAAAACGTTATTAAACGGATCGTAAGTGTTACTAGAGACTCAAAATATCAACTTTTTTGAAATGTTAATATAAAAATGCACTTTTTAGAGTTGTAGCACTCTTTTTTTGCAAATAATATTTTTCTCAAACACGGTGCTCTGAAAGATCTCATTTGTATAATTATATACATATTAGTATTTATAAAATATTTTTTATGATATGTTATTTTTCATTGATTCTCATGACTTTGCTATCGGGAGAAACGGTAGACGGTAATATTTGAAAATTTATAATAAAAGTATTTTCTTCCATTGGTAGTTTTTAGCATTAGTTAAAAATGTAATTATTTTGTGAAATACCTTTAAAATTAAAATAAGACATTAAACCTGTTTGCCACCAGGCCGTTCCAAGTTACCCCGCCTATGGGGTAAAAAGGTCTAAATAACAAATTTTTGAAAGACATAATCGGTTTTCAAAATTCATAAATCGTTCGAAATATATTGATTGGGAATCGCGCTGATTAGTTTTTGGTAGAGATCGGCCGGGACGTTTTCTTGAAATGAAGTGTTAACATTTTATTTTCGACGATTTTTATTATTATTTTTTTGACGGTAGATACCATAGTCTTATAGAGCATACTAAACTATTACGGCCCTACGACAACTCGTTTAACTTTAACAATTCGTCAAAGTTTGCAAAAATTGGTATTGTTTTTTTTTGCATTTGTCAAAATTAGGCTTTCATCGACGTTTGCTCAAAAACGCCTGAACCGATTTCAGAAATTCAAAAGCCATTTGATGTATTTTGATATGGATTATCTTTTCTTAGTTTTGTGCAACGATCGGCTGAGCAGTTTCTTTGTAACTAGGTAAAAAGTGTTAAACTTTTGGTCCACACTTAAGCTCATACTACCGAATCGATTTTCAAAAATCAAAATCAATTCGAAAGATATTAGTTTAGAATGATACTGATTAGTTTGAGGTGAAAATCTACCGAGCCATTTTCTTGTAATTAACTGTTGAAAAAACATTAAGCCGATTTTTATGGAGCTTTATTTGGAGATATATATCATGATCTTTTCAGAATTTACTGAAATACTACGACTTTACGACAAGTAGTTTAATTTTAAAACTAGTGGGGTGCATGGCATCGTGCCTTAAGGCAAATTGCTGGAACTGCTCTTACCGTAACGAAATGTTCGAGAAATATTGAATGTTTTCAAATAGATTATTATAAAGATTGTAACATTGTCTAATATTTATAAGAATTATATAAACTGAATTGCAAAGTTAAACATATTTGTTTAAAGTACATTAGAACTTTAGTCAGAATTACGATTAAAATCTGAATTATTTTCGATATACAAAAAAAAAATTGAAAAAAAAATGAAAACTTTTTGAAACAATTTTTTCTTAACAAAATCAATTATTTTGTTAAAACAAGCAGAAAGTTCTTTGAATCATTCAAATCAGACGCTTAGTTCTCTCAAAAACTGCCATTTTTTGCACATTTAGCGCTGATCTTCGAAATGGCTAAGCCTGCATTTGCCAAAAACTAATAACCACTTCTCCCAATCATTACTAATTGAATGTTTTTCCAAATCGGATGCTCTATTGTCTCAAAAACTCGAGTTTTGTTTTCTGCACTCTTTGCTCTTTATCTCCGTAACTGCTGGATATGCCTCTGCCAAAAACTAATCCGCACATCTCCCTATCAATAGGAATCAAATATTTTTTGAACTATTCAAATCGGTTGATCTGTGCGCCCGAAAACGTGGACGAAAAATTGTATGCATGCATACATACACACACACGCATCCATTTTTTCTGAAACCTTCAGACTTTGATGCATTCCATCTGCCCTTCACTTTCTGCCATCGGCCGTTTTTTATTCTCAACTTTTCAGGACTCAGTTGTAGATGTCTTGGTTGGTAAATTGTCCGTATTTCCTCTGCTAACACTAAGAGTGGCAGGGTTTCTGAAAATACGGGATACCATACTCCGGGATGTTTGAGTTTTGAAAGTGTCATCCCATATGGAGGTAACCTTACGCCAATGTAGCAGATGTGAGGTATTGACGTGATCTCTAAATTTCCTATCTTCAGCTTGATTGTCTATATTTTTTTCTACACGTGATAAGAACAGCTTAACTTTTTTGTTGTGCTAATTAGTGGTTTATTGTTCCCATCCAGCCATTAATTTTTCTCAAGGTTATATCAAATAGACTTACATTCTCATCAATTTGTTTGGAAACAACTACTATAGCTACATCGTCTATATATGATACTAGTTTGGAACATGAAACATGACTAGAATCTTTAGTCTCAAAAGGCCATCATACATAATATTCCATAGCATAGTAATATTACCTAATTTATAGTATCGATAGCTGATCGCTCTTTGCGAAAACCATATGGATTGTCTGCTAGAAGTGGGTCAACTACTGCATCTATTCTTTGACGAATTATTCTTCAAAAATTTTACCCGCTGTATCCAACATGCATACCGGCCGGTAGAATGATGGTGGTTTTCTTCCTTTGGGAAGAAGCACTAATCTTTGCTGTTACAATTATCGTGGAAAACGCCCTTCTTTTAGACATGAAGAAACATTATCGGAGATGTCATAATTGATGTTTTTAAGACAGTATTAGAAATTCCATTTAATCCCGATGCCTTACTATTTCCAACCCGAGGACGAGCTTCCATCAGTTCCTGCAGTGTTATAGGTGGAATATTATTTAGGTCTACATGTGTTACCTGGTAGTTTAAATTATTTATTTTAATTTAATAATTTATGGCTTTTAATCTTTCGATCATTTCGCCAGTTACATAAATATCTACATTTATTTATAATACAATTCCAAACTTATAAATCAATCTTAATACTAGTTATATTCTTATACATAATTTTGTATATGTCAACATTATTGTAAGATATCAACACTTGTGAATTTATAGGGAACACAATTCCTTTGTCCTGTAACATTTTTTACACGGTTTTCCTTTGTTTCATGAATATTTTACATTTCCAAAAAATATGGTCTATCGTTTCTTGTTCTCTACCACACTGGCACGAGGGATTTTGTATTATTCCTATTTTTGCAACACGAATCTCAGTCTTGATATGGTAGAAATAAATTTTCTGTCCTCTTTTACATTTTTAAACCACGTTTTTTGTGTTATCTTCATATTTGTCAGATCGTATGTTGAGTCCTTATTACTTAAAGATTTTGAAAACTCTCCTTGCCAAGTTTTTAAACTCTGCTCTTTAACCAGATAATTTAATTCTAATGCCGGCAGCCTCGTGTATTCTTCTCCATTTTGACAGGCTTCTCTCGCCAGAATATCTGCAGTTTCATTTCCTATAATATTTGCATGTCCTTTAATCCATATTAATGTCATAGAGTTTTCGCTATTATTTATTGTTTTCATTGTGTTTATTATTTCAAAAATTAATTGGCTTGATCTTCTATTTGGCTTTTGTAAAGCCAATATGCTCGCCTTGCTGTCACTGAAGATAATACATTTTGGTATTTTGTTTTTCCATGCGTACTTGACTGCAGTGTGTATTGCAATAATCTCCGCTGTAAATATCGACTTAAAATTTGGTAGTTTTAACTTCTTGCTATATTTGTGATTTGGCACATATATGGCACAATCGGCACTGTTCTCCATTTTTGATCCATCGGTATATATGTGCAAATATTCTGGATATCTTATAGCAATATTGTCTTCAAAGTCCTTGTTTTTGCAGATTTTACTGATACTTATCAAATTTGTTAAATTAATGTTTAAGTCTATATAAGGGTTTACCATTGCATATGCTTCAGGAAAGTTATAATATGGTATTTTTTTATTCGTTAATATAAATTCTTCGTAAAGTTTGATTTCATAAAAGCTCGTTTTTAGTGGTAGCGTAGGTCTAGCAAACAATAGTATAAATAAAAGAATTGACACTTCTTCACTGTGTGAGAATTACCAAGTAGTTTTAAACAATGTTTTGAAGTTCATTCCTTTAAAATAATCACCTATCCTGATTCGACTTTTTTTAATATTAATTTTAATTTTAATTAATTTCTCTTTTAATTTTCATCTCAATTCTACCTACTATCTTCACCCTCACAATGGTCATCTTTTTATTTTTTTACTATACGTACCCTCCTCGCGTTGTCAAATCTTAAATTCTCTTGTCAGTGTTTGTGCCCTCTATCTAACTTAACATGTGCGGTGCAGATTTTTGTCCCATTGCCGCATCGGACAACGTGCTTTGTGACATGTACTATACAATAAAAAATTTGTTTTAAAATTTTATATAATTGTTCCGATTTAAAGTGACAAGAATTGTTTTTATTGTGCATTTGTGAACAATTATTATTATAGAATAATTAGGATACTACAATTACATGTAAGTTTTTACACCATATCACTTTCTTATAAATTAGTTTTAATTAATAGTTTTAATCTGTGCTTTTAAATTAGAGTCCACTGAAGATGACACAAAACGATGTGTCGAAACGTATGGAAACAATAAAAGTGTTATAAGTTCATACAAGTTTCTAATTGATGTATTGCCCTGAAGACTGAATCTCACATATCTCGACATCAAAATTATTAAAATTTAACATATATATATATATATATATATATATATATATATACTAGATGACCCGACAGACGTTGTCCTGTACGCACCTCTATGTTTTTTTTAATATCCTTTACTAATATTTATACCGTTCAGTTAAAAATAATCATTATTGTTTTTCGAGTTATTATTTACACCAATATATGAGTGATGTTAAATGTATTACTGTTTCAAATAAAATGATTATTCTCAATTCCCACAGTTAACACTTTAATTATCCCTTTAACAAATATTAAAATATGTTCAATAAAATTATTTATTAAAAATTATACACTGCAAATTTATTTGCAATAGCTCAATTTATTTTAATGCCAAGGATCATACAATTTTTCAGTCATACCTGTAGATGTGGATGTATAAATGAATGATTTTTATTCATTCACGGCTAAAACATTGATATTCCAAATTTATCACCATGTATTTATTGTCATAGCATAGATACACGTGTTAAAAATTGAAACCTTTAAAAAGTATAAAAAATTCAGAAAGAATTAATATATAGCATGCGGTCAAGGTACAATATCACCTTGGATTTTTCTACCCAAAATAATTGCTTCAATAATGTTGCCTACAATTTTTATAATTTCGTACCATGTTTTAACTGGCTTTTAGTATTTTAATTTCTAAATTGCATTTTTACACTAATAATTCAATATACATTATTACTTAAGTTCATATTTGCAGTGAATTAATTTGTCAAATTCTGTTCACATGTGCTCTATTCAACCTACTATCAACAAAATTATTGCAGTAAATGGAGAGGAAAAAAGCGTATGCCCAGCTAATCTTAATCTAAAGTTCAGAAGTGAAAACACCCCCGCATTAATTGGATTATAACTCTTTTAATTCTGATTTTATCATAACTTGTAATATACTATTTTAAAGGTGATTAAATGAGCTACAACTTTCTCTATCATAAATTTTACCGTAACTTCTCTTATTTTGAAACGGCGGAGGGTTAAAGGGCTCGAACGACACTCTGGTTGGACAGCCGCGCACTCTTTAAACAATCAGAACTCTATCAATATTTGTGTAACAAAAAATAATAAAAAGCAATAATCAGTCTGAAAAATACCTTGAATTTTCATATATATATATATATATATTAATTTGGAAATATGAACAAACAACACTCTTTTTGCACTAATTTATTAAATAATAATTTTCACAAACGTTTCGAGACTAGGTTTGTCTCATCATCAGTGTATTATAATTAAAAAAATTTTATTAGACAAACAATCAATAACCACACATTGCTCAAATCACTTGTCTGTATCAGAAAATAAATGTTTTGTGAATTTTCCATATATAGACAAAGATTTACACCTTTTATCTAAAAGGCTTTTTAATAAACATAATATTAACATATCCGTGTCACCCTTACTACAACTGCGAGACATATACACAAACATTAAAGACAATACACCTATTAAAAAAAGAAAAGATGTGGTATACAAAATAAACTGTTTGAACTGTGAGTCATCTTATATTGGGCAAACATGCCAAAATTTAGAAAAAAGATTAAGACAGCACGAATTACAAAGCAAACAAAGTAAGAATAATAATATTCAACAAAAAAGTACACTTGTAGACCACGCTATCTCTAACAGCCATAGTTTCGATTTCAATAATCCACACATTTTATATTATGAACAAGATTTATTTAAAAGAAGTATTGCAGAATCGATGTTAATAGCCCATACAAGTAACACAGTAAATTTACGGACAGATACCAATATATTACATGATACATACCTGAATCTCATTCATACTTTGTAGCTTATATATAGATGTACATACACTTTTAATTATAACAATGTACAACAAATCTTATAAACAAACCATCTCATCATAGAATATTTTTTCTCCTAACGACATCTATTTTTCAACTGGACCCTAATCCTTTTTTTCCTATCTGATTGAGTGACTTTACAATTTCAAGTGGTTTTCAAGTAGGAGAGAATACGAATACCGAAGACAGTGATATTAAAAGAACAACGTGCAGTGAACGACGTGTAATGAAAAACACAACATGCTAATTTAGATTTCCATATTTTAAATATTTTTTTAATTATAACACACTGATGATGAAACAAACCTAGTCTCGAAACGTTTGTGAAAATTATTATTTAATAAATTAGTGCAAAAAGAGTGTTGTTTGTTCATATTTCCAAATTAATATCTATTATCCACTCAGAATACATTTGTAATATATATATATATGCTTTAATACGTATTCTTTCAGAGATCTTATAATGAGAAATAGTTTTTTTTTTAAATTGATTTTTTTATGAAATCATAAGTTTTTCAAAAAAAGTTCAGACCCAAAGCGCTCCATTGAGTAAATATTCCGTACAAAATGCTAACCATATGAATTTTTGACACAATGAAACTTCTAAATAATTTTTTGAATAAGTAATTTTTTGTATTGTGACTTAGTATAGTAAGGCAAAACGACCGCAAATTGAATATTTTTGAGCGCAATTACTTATGGCTCGTCTCCTTTGCACGAATTCGTACGGCGAATCTGTTCGCAAATTGCGTTGAGAGCACGATTCGCCGTGTGCGTCAGTCGCATGCGCAGACTGTCAGACGCATGTTATATTATTTGCATCTTATATTATTTTAATTATGGCACATCTCAGCTGCTTTTCGATAATAATAATGTAGACATTAAATTTTCTTTATTTTTAATAATGAATTTATTATATTTTAATATTGCCTTAGCCTATAAGTGAATAGAAATGTTTGGCAAATGACAGTTGTCATTTGTTTTTAATGTCAAACCATGCGTTAAATATTTTAAAGGTCAAACAATGATAAGCGGTTTTTTGTAATTTTTTCCATTTATTTCTATAATCTAACTATATTTCTATGAATCAAAACATTCTAGAAAATTTCCCGAACAAACTTCAGGGTGGGTGCTCCCACAGCCCAAATCCATATTCTAATGCTGTGAGATCAAAATCAAATCCATAATCAATAACCATAACAACAACAAAACGCCAGCCCGGGCGATCTTTCCCCAAAACCGTAAAACCCCAAACTTCCCCAAAAATCGCGAAACCCAATTCTATCCTCAATTTACTTTTTCTATACGCTCCGAGTATTACCCACATACATTATATCAAACACAAAACAACAATCAATTAAAATTTACATTCACTAAAATCGTGCATTAAAACCTAAAATATTTTCATTTAAAACGAGGGAGATCAAAATACACTTATCTATATATTTTGCTGGCCAACTGACATTCATAAAAATATGCATGCTCACACACAATTTCTCAATTCCCGACTGAACTAAATAACCATTTTCACAATCAAATCAAAATAATAAGAAATACAATTAATCATTACCCCAATCATCTATTAACCCCAATTTTCTCTTTTCTCTTTTATTCCTTCACACGCGAATTATTTCCCTGAATCCCACACAACATATTTTTCTCAACATTTTTTTCAACATCTTTTTATCCCAATATCTCAACGGTTATAAAGTATAGCCCAGTGCTCTCTGAGTGATGGAAAAGAAATACCAAAGTACAAACCAACGTCTCTGCACTTGCTGTCAATTATAACCTATATACTATCCCTATCCCTAGCATTACCCCTAATTATTCATCCTGCATATTTATCTATTTCATTTATCCTATGTAATTATCTACCTACATGTTCTGTTCCTGCACTATTGCAGGTAATCTGGGCATTCGACGTAGCGCTTCATTCTTTCGACGTGTATAGTCTCAAATTTTGGTCACCCCCGCACCGCTTTATTAATATGAAAA